CAAAAATTACCTGAAGTAATTTCCAATGAACGTTCTTTAATTCTTCCAGTACAATTCAGTATATTAAGAAGTCAAGGGGCTGGAGAGAGAGCTCAGCAGTTAAGCACTGGCTGCTCTTCCAGGACCCAGGCTTGGTTCCCAGCACTCACATGGTAGCTATTAACCTGGTCCAGGGAATGTGATGCCCTCTTGTGGCCTCTGCAGGCACTGTATGCATGATGTGCATTTACAAATATGCAGGCAAAACACTCAGACACAAAAAAATTAATTTAGGGCTGGAGAGATGGCTCAGTGGTTAAGAGCACTGACTGCTCCTGCAAAGGAGCCGGGTTTGATTCCCAGCACCCACATGGTGGCTAACAACCGTATATAACTCCAGTTCCAGAGGACCCAACACTCTCTTCTGACCTCCGAGGGTATTGCATGACATGGGTGCACTTACACACATGCAGGCAATACACTCATACACACAAAAATAAAAATAATAAAAAAGATGAATTAAAAAGAAGTCAAACATCCAACACATGTGCCATGCCCCTCACATCTACCCAGAGTCGAAGATACGCAGAGTCCTGTGCCAGGGCCAGTACTCACTCTGTTACTAAAGCAAATTGTATCCTCTGGGTGCTGCTTCACCTGCAGAAAGGACTGGGTTCTAGTGGAGTCTAAGGGACCACATTCTGTGATTCTGTTTGACACAGGGTAACCATACTCTTCACATGTAACACTATAACATCAACATTACAAATAGCACTGGCCAGTTCACATCAAATTCCTAACATCTATAGTACTTTTAATGTTACTAATACTTTTAATACCGTGTTAACTATACTTATATCACGAGACATTTGCTAAAACTAGAATTCACAAAAAACATAACCACTACTGTGCTGCCGTATGTCTTGGTACATATGCCTTATCAAAGAGTAAGAGGCCCACTCTCAGAGAACAGAAAACACTTCTTCGGCATGAAGACACCACCATTTTGACATAATACAAAGACAGCTGACCAAGCTGTAACTAATCAAGAGTTAATCAATGCTAATCTTCCTCCTGAGAACCTGAATTTTGTTTTTTTAGGAGAGAGGTGCTATGGACTGGACCTAGGACCTCACGCTTGCTAGACAAATGCTCTACTACAACCCTAGCCAACACCACCACATTAAAACCAAAAAACCCTACAAATGTGCTAACATGTTATAAAACAGATTTTAATAGCACCATTGTTTTAACTCAAGAATTAATTTCAAAAGGAGGGGGGAATGGGTAGCCAAGTTTAGGAGAGAGGTGCTATGGACTGGACCTAGGACCTCACGCTTGCTAGACAAATGCTCTACTACAACCCTAGCCAACACCGCCACAGTAAGACCAAAAAACCCTACAAATGTGCTAACATGTTATAAAACAGATTTTAATAGCACCATTGTTTTAACTCAAGAATTAATTTCAAAAGGAGGGGGGAATGGGTAGCCAAGTTGTTTATAATATTAAGTAATTTTATCAGCAGTAACCCTTACATGGGAACTTCTAAGTCACTGTAGCACTAGTTCAAAACAGTTTTTTGGGTTTTTTTTTGGTCTTTTTGAGACAGGGTCTCCCTATAGCCTCAGCTGGCCTGGAATTCACTACGTAGACCAGGCTGGCCTTGAACTCACAGAGATCTGCCTGCCCCTGCCTCCCAAGTGCTGGGGCTACAGGCGTGCGCCATCATGCCTGGCACACTGGTTGTTTTTAAAGAAAGTATTGCTCTTGACAACTACTCAAGAAACAGCATTAAAAAAATATTTTATTTTATTATTTTTATTTTATATGTATGAGTGTATTGCCTGCATGTATGTGAATGCACCCGTATCATGCAATGCCACAGAAGTCAGAAGACTTTGGATTTCCCCGGAACTGGAGTTAAGGATGGTTCATAGCTGCCACGTGGGTGCTGGGAATCAAACCCGGGTCCTCTGCAAGAGCAGTTGGTGCTCTTAACCGCTGAGCCATCTCTCCAGCCCCTCAAGAAATAGCTGTTTAATTTGGAAGCTCTCAAGAGCCCCAGGAAGTGCCGAGACCCATAGTCACAGTACTCTTACTTCTCCATACAGTTTTCTGAAAAGAACTCTGAAGGATCTCAGGAACTGACTGCTCAGAATCAAAAGATGAAATTTTGACACAGAAGTAGTGTTCTGTTCTGTTGTATAACCTTTTTTACCATTTCACCCTTTTCCTAGAAATAATTTCTGATGAAAAAGAAAAAAAGATGGGCCAGGCGTGGTGGTGCGCACCTTTAATCCCAGCACTTGGGAGGCAGAGACAGACAGATCTCTGTGAGTTCAAGTGTGAACCTGGTGTACATAGTGGGTTCCAGGCCAGCTGGTGCAACAGAAAGACCATGTCTTAAAAACATCAAAAAAAAGCCGGGCGTGGTGGCGCACATCTTTAATCCCAGCACTCGGGAGGCAGAGGCAGGCAGATCTCTGTGAGTTCAAGGCCAGCCTGGTCTACATAGCGAGTTCCAGGCCAGCTGGGGCTACAGGGAGACCCTGTCTCAAAAAGACAAAAAAAAATAAAATCAAAAAAATAAAAAAAGAGAAAAAGAAAACACAATCTCTCTACTGATTAGAAAGTTTTAGGATTTGAGCTCAGAATGTCACCTCAGGATAAGCCATAAAACTTTCCCTTACCAGCTTTCAAATTTGTAAAGTCTCAAGAATCTCAATATATTCTGACCAATAAAATATTTAGAAATCTTATATGTAAATGAAATAAAAGTCCTCCATCACTCAGCATCCAGCTATTCTGACAAAAGGGAAAAGACTGATATGAAATGTCGAGTGCAAGAGCCTTGTGTCTCAAGCTCCAAATGAAATACAGTAAGCTTGTCTGGAAAGGCAGCCTTTCCTAGATTCCTCCAAATTCAGCAGCTGGTACTGTTAAGGGCTTAATTTCCCATGAACAAATATCACAATAGGAGGTAGGTATAGTCTTAACTTTAACTTATTTGAATAAAAGAACATAACTTTGGATAAAGACTTTGATCTTTTTGAAAAATAGTACTTTTAATCCATTATATTAACAAAACCACAATAATATCATTAGTGGTTTCTTACTGTATCCTTCCAAAGGAATAAAACCTGCAAAGAAATGCCACAGGGTTTTGAAAAACAACTGGTATAGTTTTCACCAGTTGAAGCATGGTGGTTCAGGCTGCACTGTGAAAAGAAACCATGTCAAAAAGAAACAAACACTCCATTAACTAGAGCATCAACAGGGCCTCCCAAGTCTCATCCCAGAAACCTGGAACTTACTATGTTCAATCCTACAATTCAATGCTAAAACGAGCAGCCAGAGACATGAAGAAAGAGAAGAAGAGTTCTGAAGGGTCAGTTCAACCTAAAGATGTCAGGCACTTTTCTCTGTGCCTAGGACTACTGTTTACAAAAATCATCTGTAGCAGCTTCCATAGTGGGCTCTCTTAAATATACGCCGAGACTCTTTAGAGCAGAGGAAAAACAGTCAGGCAACTAACCCTATGAAGTTTTCCCAAGAATGACTGAGAAGCCATCCGATGTTTCCTAAATGAACACACTGGCACTCACACATACACCTGAGACCTACTGCATTCAAAAAACTCATCACAGGAAACTGCACATATTCTAAGAACATGATTGCACAAAAATTTAGGCATTTCTCTGGAACTGCTTTAGACCTGGCAATCCATTCCTCTGAATGTACAGCAATGGAATGTGGATATTCCCAACTATAGTTTATATGTTACTTAAGATCTGAAGCAGCTTCTATTAAAAGCATTTATGCTCACATACATAAAAGAATTGTATGTTTTCCTCCAGCAACTTCCTTGAAGGAAACATTTCGCTATTTTTGCTTAAAAACAAACAAAAAACCCACATAGCTCTAGATCTTCCAGGCACAACTTCTATTTAGTGGAGCTCCATCTTCAACATGGTTCCTTACATCTCATCCCAGTGTCTTGGACAGCAGAGGCAATATCACCTGTCCCTCTCCACGGCAATGCTGCTCCTTTATCACTAGGCTAGGATGGTAAGGAGCAACAGCACTGGATGACTCATAGAAAGCTAAGTCTGTCACTACATATTAAATGGGGACTATCCATAGAGCTGTCCTAGCACACAAGGATAGCTTTTCCATTCCACTTTCTTATTCCATAGACCTTCCATCAGGCCAGGGGGAAAATTACATACATCTCAAAGTTATTATAACTCTCCAGTGTTTAGTCTGTCACTAAATGACATGTATAAACACTCAATGATCTAACAATATGAGGAACCACTCAGATTCCAAGGATTACTTTGTAGTACACCCTGTATAACAGTATTAAAGCTACAATCACCTGAAGGGAAACTTGGCTAACTCTTCATGCCCATTAAGATCATGTCTTCACGTGAGTGATAACAAAACCCATGACATTATCAACTTGAGAGGGCTACACCAGACATTAGACAGTTCTGTTGCAGTTATTTCAGTGTGTAGAAACCTACTCTTCTATTACTCCAAATTTCGTTTTTACTAGCTGATAAAAAATAAAGGCTTCCCAGCACAAATGGCTCACTACATCCATCCCACCTGAAATGTTTCTGCCAAAGGAAATGTGATTATCCACTGGGGGAGTTTCCCTGCATTCTAGGTTTCAAATTTATCTCTGAAGTGACTCCAGTTTTTGGCACAATGCTCAAGGAGCCTATACTGACAGAATCTCCATTCAAATACTTTTCTCCCTTGGGCATACCTATTAATTCTGTACCAAATAGAGCCCTTTCAAAAGTTTTGTTTGGGGAGCACAGAATTTACTTTAAATATTCCAGATCTACCAAAGGCAGGTTTGAGACCAATCTGCACATTTCCTACAAAGTTCACAGGAAAAGGGGTTAGGAGAAGTGGAGGGCTTCCCTCCAGAACATACATAAACTGAGCACTTTATGTTCTTTTGTCCTGTGGGGGAAAATGTTACATGCCACTCATAGGACACTCACCTTGAGAATTTTTACAACCACCCTCTCATTGTTGGTGATGTTAATGGCCTCAAATACTTCACTATACTTGCCCCGACCAAGTTTTCGAACCAGTTGGTAATCATCTTGATTACTGTGAAAGGCAAGAGACACACATAAATGCCAGGATTTGGGATTAAGCAAGCCTATGTCCACTACACCCGCCCAGCCGCTTCCATTAATCAAGCACTTGGAAGTATCCATACATCATGCCACAACTCATTCCCTAAATGAAAGCTACAACACAAGCTTGGCTCCCTTCACTCCGCAGAGCTTCTAACCTAATTGATCCCTTCTAACCTGGGGAGATGGGGTAGCTAGCGGCCCTCTGGACCAATCTAGCACCCCACCCTGGCGGTACCAGGGTGACCCCACCCCCACCCCCACTCCCGCCTGCGGCCCCACAGCAACTGCCTCCCATTTCACTCGCTTTAGGGAGCCACAGCCTTTTGAGAATCTGCATCTTTTCAAATATGTTCCTCCCACCCAGCCTCATTTCAGAAAACTAAGAAGCCGGGCTAATTAATAGCTCCGGAGGACAGCTGTTGACTTCCCACCCCGAGATAAACCCCAAAGTGCGGGGAGAAGGGTAGCTCCCCGGCTCGCTCAGCCTCTGGTCCCCCGACCCTACACTTTTCCCCAAGGGTGCAACACCGGGGGCGGGCCCGGCCGGCCGGGCTGGGGAGGCCGGCGACACGTGCGACAGGGGCTGGGCCTCCCCGCCAGCCCCGAGGCCGAGCGGCCGGCCGGGTTCGG